AGGATCGTACTTTTGTGGTCAATACTTTCTTAAGCTTAAATTTTGAGAGAATAGCGAGAAGACGAAGTTGATTTTTAAAAAAGTGTGATTTATTTGCTCTATACATTTTGAACAATTCGGTTACATAAATGTCAAGGAGTTTCATATGCAAACTAATAAAAGCGAATTGCTTCCTTGAACATTCTTTAAATATTGACTTTTTTTGAATTTTTTCACATAGATGCTTTCACAAGTATGTCTGTGACCAGATTGTTCTAAATGTATAACATAAATATATCGGATTTCTCGAATTAACTCCATTTTATTGAATCGAAATTTATTAAAGTAAAGTATTAATTAAAGTACTCAATTATTCTCTTTTTCTTATGATACTCAAGATAATCATCCTTAAATAAATAAAGATTTAGTTTCTTGTCATAGTGTTATACGATTAGTTTGAAGCCAGCTTATCAGATATAATAGATTAATATCTTTGTTAACCAATTAAAACATATCTTTCTCACAGGTTGAAATCATGAGTCATTTGAAGCTAGACAACCATTGAAAACCTGGAAGCACTGGATGGCCTTTTCGTCCTGGTATGGGACTCCTGAGCAGTGCGCATCCAGGATCCCGCACCACGCGGGCTCGAACCCAGGACCTACTGGCTTCGCGCGTGAGCACTTTACCACTAGACCACTGAGCCGGCATCCAACGGTGTTAATGTTAAGTTCTCGCGCGCGAAGCCAGTAGGTCCTGGGTTCGAGCCCCGCGTGGTGCGGGATCGTGGATGCGCACTGCTGAGGAGTCCCATACCAGGTCGAAACGGCCGTCCAGTGCTTCCAGGTTTTCAATGGTTGTCTAGCTTCAACTGACTCATGATTTCAACCTGTGAAAATTTCTAAAACTCTCCACAAAACCCATTCTGACATATCTTTCTTTTGTGAAATGACAATGTAGTATAACAAAACATTACTTGATAAGCGTCTGGTTACAATAAACATCATTATCATATCTCTTATATATAAATTGTTATAAGAAAACATAACATAATACTTAATGAAGTGTCTATGTTGTTATCATATCAATGTTAACAAAGATTGATCAATCGTCAAATCAGTTTTAGGATTGAATATAAAGATCACATTGATTAGTTGTGCTTATGTATTGTCTGAATCTGTTTGTAAAAGCTATAAATGTTACATGTAGTAAACTTACATCCCATGTACTTTTAGGCTCATTGCTTTATGTATAAATCTTTGAATAGATTGATTGTATTTTTTAGAATATATTTGATTACCATTATCACAATGCTTCCATCTTTTAGTTTTCAATAGTTCATTGTATAAATATTTGAAGTTAATACAAATATCCTACCATCATATAAAGTTGTTGTTTTTCTTTAAATAGTAATGTAATTTGTAGACTACCCATTATGTAATAAGCTAAAATAATGAGTAACTTAGTTCCCTATTGTAGGTTAATAAATAAAGAAAACTTTCGTTTATTATAAAATACATTTGTATATAAATATTTAATAGTTGACATATTTAATGGATATTTCATGTGGTGCTATAAACTCATCGAATTGTAAACATTTTAATAAAAACAATAATTTAAGAAATAATTAAGTAAACGTCACTTATTGATTACAGGTAGTAAATGGTTAGTAACTAGGAAAGAGTAAACAAAATTAAATTTCAATAAGATTTAAAATAGTAAGTGTTCAAGTACAGAGATGTCACTTTTCGGTATAGTTAATTTAAATACATGAACATCAATGGTATGATTTAATTGTCAAGTATGTTTAATGTAAACACTAAGTGATACTTCATCAAAAGTCGTACTTGTTATTGAAGAGAAAGATATGGGATATATGTTGTTTCTCATAGTTTCAATCACCAACATATCTTATCTAGACCTCAGATGAAAACTTGAACTCTTTAGTAGTGATTTTCAACGAATCTTTGTCTAAAGACCGAACCCGGCACCTTCGTACTCCCAGGCAAACGTATCCATCCAACCAATTCATGGTATTGGGCAAACCTCATCCACTCCTTATAGTGAGTGATTATCTCATACTCGACACGGTTCAATTTCACTCATCACACCTCACTATTACTTGTAAAGTTGATTTTTTGAAGTTAGTCAGTATAGAAAACAGTTCCAGTGCTTTCAGGTTCTCAGCGATATTCTGACTAAGACCAGTTTGTGTTTTAAACTATGAAAGTTCAAAAAGCTCTGCGAACCCCTCTACATTAAGTAGAGGTTTTTTTAGTTATCTGTAAAATATCTTTCAAACACAATCTTATTGAATGTGTCTTCTAGTATCATAAGTCTAGACATAGAAGTAGTTTAATTACACTAAACACTCTATGTCACAGTTTCATTAGGATTGATTTATGATTCAACTTTAAGATACATATCTCATGTCTAAAATTGCTTGCGATAATCGCTATTGAGCTTTTAAACACTATTAATTTACATATATACTGAAATTGTGCTGAAGTTGATATGGATCAAACGTTTTTATTTCTTTAAGGAAAAATGTAAATATAAGTTAGTAAGTTGTCAAACTCACAAAGTAACTGATCTATGTTGATAAACTTTCCTTCAAGATAGCCAATAAAAGATACCTCAGAGAGAAAAAAATGAAGCAAATAAGTGAGAAGAATAAAGGGACTGACAGAAAAAAAATTCCAGAAAATATAGTTCGAATAAGTATTAAGAAGTCATAGAAATCTTTGTCATTTAAATTAAATGGATTAATATAAGTAATCTGTATACGTGAATTTAGTATAGCAGATTCTGTAGAAGAAATATTTCCGATACGGATAAGGCATATATAGACGTTACTCATATACAGGCTTATTCACTGACCAATATTTCCGAGTATATACTTTTTCAATACTTATAAAAGTTTTGTTACCTAATCTCTTGAAGATTGATTTCTTTACCATTCAACTATAGATTCAATTAGATTCGATCATGTCATTGTATCAGTTAAATATAGCTCATTTCTAATATTTATTTCTTTGATTGAAATGAGGTAAATAATCTTCTTTTTGAGCACTTGATTATAAATAATTTATTCATTTTCAGAGAATTTATTGTTAGTGTTATCTGTAAGGACTGTCTTTGATATTCGAATCTTAAGCAATAGATACTCTTCATCACTTCAGTTTACATGGTGCTATTTCATTTCATGACTAATCATTTCCTAGATGACTTCAATGTAATATGCTTCATTTATATATCTAAATGAGCATCTAAAATAAATGTTATATGAAATAGAGGTATTTATGATTAACTGCAAAGAAAATTAAATCACTCAAAATTGATATTGTGCTTTTATGATGTAAAAATATATTCGGCCAAAATTATCATATATGTTGGCTAACAATGGAAGTTAAAACACGTATATCGTTCTATTTGGCACTCGTTTTCAGGATTTAACTAATATCCACTTCAGAATTCAAATCCAGTACCGTTGGTATCAAACGCTGTCGCATTATCCACTTAGCTACTGAGTGCAAATAGTCACTGGTTTGTGCATTGGTTATTTTAATCTTCCTATTAATGTTTAAGACTACAAATGAACAGTTTCTTGTGGCGTTTGTACATCGTGTGCAGATTTTATAGAAATCGTTTTACGTCATAAGGATTATAAGCTAAAATGGATGGTGGCTAACAGTGGAGTCTTGGACACAAATTCCATCCTATTCAAACAATCTATGCAAATTGTCATTTATTTAGTGCTTTGTTATCTTGACAAATTCTCACAGACAATCACATATTTACTCATTATGAACCCGCTACACATTGACTCATATTGAATTACCGAAAAGTTGATGAAAAGTCTTTCAAAACATCTGTGATTACAAATAGTCAATAGCGAACATTGCTTTATTCAATGTTCAAACAGAAATTAAACCGATTGCATAAAATGAATATTTAGCTTACATACTATTATGATCGACTAGATAGAAGAAGACATATTATTTACTAGTTAATTCATTATAGAGCTAAACGCTTACTAAACTGATATTAATCAATCATTTATGACATTTACTCATACCATTTTTCTGTCAATAATTTGTATATAAGCATGTTATTTTACTATAAACGACTTAATCGTTTGCTTAATGGTCTATCTTTCACCTCAGATCATTTAATAGACTTATCTTATCGATTCATTCTTACAAGCAGCCATCATACAACCACTTCTATGTTATTAATCAATTAACATTTTTATTTAGTTTATTTAAACAAATGAACAATTGTTTATCAAACCATTGAAATTCTAATTTATAATTACTTTGAATTAAAAAAATAGTTTTGGCTCCTTGGTTAAACGAACAACCTAAAAGATACATATGTTACTCAGTATGATGAAGCTGAATTTTCACAGTGTTACTTCCATTTGTTAAAACTATAAAATATTACATTGTAGTGAATGAAAACTCAGATTGGAGAAATCAATCTTTTCTTTAATGCAAAATTACACAGTACCTTTGTCACACAATAAAAATCTTACATTAAATACATTATTTTGAACATGTTTTTTTGCATTGTCCTTAATCTACTCCATTACTCCTTCAATTCTGTGTATATTTCATTTGCTCTTTGTTTCTTTTCCTTTTCTCTTTAATTCAATCTTCGGTTGCCAGACATTCCACTTTTGATTGCAACTACATAATACTTATATCTGTCAGTATGAGTAGCATATACCACTATATGACAATCGATATTATAGAAAATCTAATATCAACTATCTATAAACTTTTTCCATTATTTATAATTCAACTGCTCTATAAGCTATAATACGGTGGGGAAAAAAACACATTAACATGTAATTGTGCTATGGTCAAACGTCTTGATTATTTAACTCAACCCTTTTGTAATTGACATAAGCTTGTTAGATAAGTCTCAACAAATGTAACTAAGAGAGTGTTGTTTTTTCTATATTTGTAAAGTCAGTTTGTTTGAATTTTGTATTATTTGCTTTTTTTGTATTGTAGTTATTGAACAATCACAAATTCGGTGTATTATTATGCCGAAAAAATCAGTCAACTGAAGAAGAAATGTACAACAATGGTAATTTAATTTTAAATGTTCTCATTTTATTATTATTATTATTGTTGTTTGTTTTAAAAGCATCTATGTATTCAGTGAAATGCTTCATTGTTGTGTTTCTAATGAATCATGAATAATGTTCGTAATCATTTGTTGATATAAGATGGTGGTTGGAGGTAGTCAACAAGAAACCCTGGACCCGGGTTTCGTGCTACTTGGCACTCGTCAGCAAGGTGTACTTGTTATCTTGAGGGAACTGGTGCTCCCTGATGGATTCGTTCCGGTGTCTTTTATTGATGGCAGCAAATCGAAGTTATATACAGGATATTTTTCTTTAAATTGTGAATTATAAGTTTATTGTTTCTGTAAAAAAGATAAAAATGAGCAATGATAGTGTAATAGAAATTTATAAATTTGCTACTTGAATATATGTTATACGTAAGAACAAGTTTTTAATGTTTGAACATCAGAATTCTAACCGAATTTCACATATAAAAATGGATCAAAAGTGAGTGATCAAGACCAAACACGGATTTTTTTTAGCAGATATGGATACTGGTTAGCAGTGTGCTCCAAGACGCTCGCTTCCTCCTATTTGGGACTCTTCAATTGGATATACCTGCATCTTAGAGTTGATGTTCACCCTGAGACTCGAACTCAGTGAATAATGCGATGGCGTTTGGAGCAAAAGGTAATGGGTTTGAGTACCAGAGTGAACATCAACTCTGATATGCATGTACATCCAGTTGACGAGTCCCAAATAGGAAGAAACGAACCTCCGGGATTCCACTGCAAGCCACTATCTATCTTCGCTGATAAAGCTTCTGACCTAAGGCAATATCGAAGCAGTCCGCACAGTATGCCAACAAGAGACTGATCGATTGCAGTCCAAAATAACAATGGAAAGATACAAGTAAACGACACCAAGTGAATTTAAACGTGGATTATTTAAACAAATTTAAACTTCTGTCGCATTAATCAATGTTAGAGCTTGGTTATAGTGTGACGGATAGGTTACTTCGTGCGTAATAAGCATAAATTCACTTAGTTCACCAGTGAGATTTATTCATTAAAAAGAAGTAATAGTTATTTGTCATCTCAACCTTAACCTATGTGCGAAAAACTAAATTTATAGTTTCTGTGTACTGTTATTGTAATTGATTCACTATCAATCTTCTTTTCTTTAATTTTTACAAAATCATCCGATTTTTTTGTTTTTCGACCTGTAATGTTCACGAACATTCTTCTACTATATTTTCATATTTTCTTTCATTCTAGTAGCACTTTTATTGTTCACTTTAGTCAACTTTTAACCTACAGTTAGTCTTATAATTTTAACCTGATCCGGTGAAATGTTTAATCTCCGATCATATAAGCAATCCATGTAATTGTTTTTTCTAATAATATCCTTAACAACTACTAACAGTATCACTACTGAGGAGTCCAACACTAGTGCGAAACGGCAGTCTAATGCTTCTACGTTTTCATCAGTTGTTTAGCTCAGATTGGCTTGTGAATTCAACTTAAAAAGTATCATTATTATTATTATGACTAATTTGTAAATGTGTTTTGTTAGGAATCATTAATTTTATTATTTCATCTACCATAAACGTAACATTTAAGAAGTATTTCTCACAGTCACCGACATCATAGTCTTTTTTCTGCTTATTCCGTTTGTTTATAAATTATTGTTGTATAATTGTTGATTACGATTATAATTAATCCTCATTAGTAAACTAAATAATTTGACACTTATTATGCACGAACTTACATTTGTAAAATATTTTGTTTATTCATGCTAACCCATGCATATTGCCGATAAGTTAAATCATGTAGAACGAAATAAATTTATGTAATCCTACAATGTTTTGATTGCTTTTACTTTACAAAAGCACATTAAAAGAAATAAATGTATGAAATTTATGATCAAGTTTAGATATACAGTTCAAATGGTTGTCGGTCAACATAACATCGAAAAAGAAAAAACCTTTGTGATATGAACTGATCTAGGAAAACTACTGGTAAACTGGAAACACTAGACGGCTGTTTTATCCTAGTAGGAAACTCCTCAAAAGTATACATCTACTCTCTTCTGTTGAACTAAGGATAGGGAGTGAAGTAGTCGAACGCGTTGACAACTTCACTTATCTTGGAAGTCTGATCAGCACTAATGGGTTGATGTCTGACGAAATCTCATCACAGATTCGAAAAGCTCGTTTGGCTCTTGCCAACATACGTCACCTATGGCGAAGGCGAGATATCCGTCTATCAATAAAAGGACGAGTATACTGCGCAGCAGTTCGTTCTGTTTTAATTTACGGCAGCGAAACATGGCCAATAAGAGTAGAAGACACTCTTTAGTTACTAGTATTTGACCACAGATGCCTCAGAAACATTGCTGGCGTCTGCCGGGATCACCGGGTAAGTAATAGGGAGATTAGACGCGAGGTACTAGGTAATGATGGTAAATCAGTTAATGAGGTTGTGAATCTTCATCGGCTGAGGTGGCTGGGCCACGTGTTGCATATGCCTGAAAACCGATTACCACGACGTGCAATCCTAACCAGTGTTGGAGATGGTTGGAAGGAAGTTAGGAGCGGCCAAATCAAAACGTGGCATCAGTGCTTGAAGTCACCAACTTCTAGTCTGAGCCATGTTGGCAGATGCAGACTACTTGTTTGGGGTCCGCGTGACTATCGTAACCAATGGTTGGAGACTCTTGGTGACATGGCTCACAATCGATCACAATGGCGTCGGTGTATACACTCTTTGTCTTCCCTTAAACTAAGAGATTAAAATCGCTTCATATCTTTCTTTCTACGAACTAATTCTTTCTTCACGTACTATATCCTCATTGCAATCTTTCTTTTATATATTATCACAACCGGATAACTACTTCTGTGAATCCGATGTTCATCTTGTTGTGTTAATGAGGTATAGCAACTTGGACCGATGCATATATGTGCCTGGACCTACGTTGTAGCTGACTGACTGACTGACTTCTGTTGATAACTTACACTTGAGAGGTTAAACGTTTAGATGAGAGATCAAAGGTCTTTAGTCCGGTTGTTGAGTGGTAGATCGTGAACGTACGTTCTTGAACAGTCACATAATTCCAGGTTTTCATTGGTAGGCTGGTTAAAATCAATTCATTATTTAAATTTGGAAAAATTTTAAAATCTTCACAAAACGTTTTTTTATGCTAGTAATTTTGATTATGATTATTTCCTTGATGAAACTTAGACCAGTTTACCGGGTAAAGCTTTGGAATTATGTAAATTTTGATATCTAAGATCTCTCAAATATCATTTTCTTATATGAATCTACTAGTGGCCTATTGAGTTTAAGCGCTTTTTGGTTATATATAAATGTAGTTACCCTCTATGGTAAAATTTAATTTATGAAACTTATCTTCACAAAACAATCTTCAGTTTAGAAAGTTTTATTCTTTTCAATGTTATTCATTAGGTTACTGTAGTCAATAATTTTATCGGACCACCCAATAAAGTTATGCAGAATAAATATTTTCAGAAGTGAAGAAGACTATTAGAAAGTGTTTTGTGATATATTATCGATGATTAGATGTAAGTATTTAGTTCAGATTTCTCTACTGTCATGCATGTTCACTGGTTATTTAAGGTCATTTTGTGATGCACACTATATATGTCCAATAATTTTCACAAATTCTTTATACTATTAAAGGTAATCATGTACATACAAGTAACAAATATTAAGAGGAAATTCCTTAAGTCCTGCTGAGACTCCATGACTAGTGAAATTCAACCTTATAAGTAGTTAGGCAATTATGTACCAATCACTTCAGAAGACAGTTGCACAACATTGCAAAATGACCTAAATTAAAGGATGTAAACTACTGTATGTGAAAGTTAAACGTTAAGTGAAAAACTTGAAAGTCTTTTATTCTATCCTTGATCGAGTCACAATCATAGATTAGGTATCCCATACTAATGCAAAATAGCCATCCAGTCCTTTCTTTTTTTCAGTGTTTGTCTAAAGTTGGTATGGGATATAAACTTTAAAACGATACTAAATTTACTCATGTTACAAGCAATGGTCTTCAACAACTTAATTCATCCAAATTAGTTTTATTATATTTGAAAAATAAAAAATAAAAATCATTATTGATCGTACATCTTTGTTTCTTAAACCCTTGGCTACTTAGTTTTAATCCTTCTCTCTCAACTAAACACTTTCATATATCGCTGAAAAATTTCCATTATATTAAAACACAATTAATATGAACGAAGAATATTCTTTTCAATAATTTCTCATCAAGTGCAAATTAATAATCCATAAAATTGGCCAGATTTTAGGCAGAGTACATCATTTGGAAGTTGTAATATATGAATTGAGAATTGTTGTTTGTCATACAAAATCAAATCAAATCGTTAATGTTGGGGCTGATTAATATGAAGTTATCAGAAGGGGTTTGTGGATTCGTTAAAGTTAGACATTAACACCATTGGACGCCGGCTCAGTGGTCTAGTTGGTTAAGCGCCTGGCGCAAACCAGATAGGTCCTGGGTTCGAATCTCGTGGGGTGCGGGGTCGTGGATGGGCACCGCTGAGAAGTCCCATACTAGGGCGAAACGGCCGTCCAGTGCTTTCAGGTTTTCCATGGTTGTCTAGCTTTAATCGACTCATGATTACAATCTGTAATATGAAGTTGTTAACTTGAATCAGTTTCTAAGTGAAATGAAATTGTGAGATAAATGATCAGAATAAATATGGTCAGCATGGGGTGAGAAAAAAAATAATGGGATAAAAATCGGAAATTACGTAGTATGTAGAATAATATGAATTAGGTCAGATATAGTAGATTTAGGGTTGGATATTGAATAAATTCCCCAGAAGGTTATCAAGTGTAATGATTATAATAATAATAATAATAATAATAATAATAATAATAATAATAATAATAATAATAACAATATCAATAATAATAATAATAATAATAATAATAATAATAATAATAATAATAAGTTTTGGACATAAAATGAA